CTACTAAACAAGGTGAGGCTTGAGAGTTTTTTGACCAGGAATCGAACCCGAACCTCCTGCATTCTACCATCGAGCTACCGGTGTACAATGTTTAGCATGAGCATATCGGTTATCTGCTGGAAACAATTAAGTCGCAATTATAAGTGAAAATTGCATTCTTCCGCAGGTGATAATTCCTGCAGAAATTGTGTGCACTCGAAATTCTCAAGGCTTTTCCGTAAATGTCTCTTTCTCACCGGTTTCTCAGTTGTTGTTCTTGCTGTTTTCTTCGTCGTCCTGAAAACGATTATATTAACTAAATTTAATTAACAAGTTATACTTAGTGTAAGTGGCAATTTTTACAGCTCTAATGCATCAAGTGAACTCAAGGATAGCCCATTCCAAATCGAGTTTGCGCATTCAGTAATAACCATTCTGTTGATTTTGTTATTTACAACGAATATAACAGTTAAGCGCATTATATTGCGTTAGATTTACCGTGACTTATTATTGTCCGAGCGAGCAGCATAAAATGATCTAGCCAAACATGAATGGTCCACTTAGTGCATACATTCAAAGAAATAATAAGCATTAGATTAAACACAATGATTAGTGAAGAAGTTTGACAACTCATTGATGAAATAGGTTAAGAATATTCATGGTTAATGAGATGTGTCCATTATTAAGACGAGGGACTCAAATACATTATGTATTTACCGGGTGTCCAACTCCGGCAATTCAACTTAAGCCTATAGATATATTGGGAGGTGTACCTAACAAATATTTATGGAATGTACGTCAAAGTCACATTATGTCTGCGCAACACTGTTAATTCTGAAAGGTGACTGACGTGATTCTCCGCTTTGCAAAAAAGACGGAAATAAAACAAAACATACATTCGATCTCTTCATACAGTCTGTCAAACGTACCTGCTTATGAATTTCTTTATACAAACAATAGCAATTATTTTGGGTAGTAAGATGTACCATAGTAAGTTATATGCATCTCTAAAAGCTATCTGTGAAAGAAAATTTGTCTTTTTGGTGATTGGGCTAAACTCACTAGAAAAGCATTCACAGTGAACACTGAACAGCTTAGATAGACAAATATAAACACCACTAGAGGTGCACTGAAAAAAATTATGTTTCCATGTTGGTGGTTCAATGTAAACTGAAAACGCCTGTTTCTCAAACAGAAATTAAAGGACTTTTGTAATCGAAGTAGTTGTAGCCGCAACGGTTCACTCATCTGGAAAAGACTATTCTTTTTGTTGTTGAACCTATGTAACATACTTATCATTCCATGATGCTATATTGTTTCTGCATTCACACGCTTTAATACTTTGTTTCTTTGTATGCTGATATCATGTGAAACTAGATATCGGTGTAACGGACTGTAATGGTTTCATCTCAATTTAAAATCTTCGAATAACCACGTTAGTATTTTCTTGTGTGCTGGTACGACTACTGATAGTTAAGAAAGGGAAGTTAGCAGCTGTACTGGCAGTAGATCGGGATTTAAGTAGGTAATACTGAATTTGATTATCTTGCTTGTATAAGTTTGACTGGTGACAACTCGTGAGGTTGTATTAAATATTACTCACGTTTCATCTGTGCGTCGCGGATTTACTAACATTGTTTTGCAAGTGGTCTATATTCTTAGAATAATGATGAATTAAGGCAGTATAAATTATATGGTTACCTAGTTTATCTTGTTAACATTACATATTCATTATCAGAGGTTTGCTAAGAGTGACTTCCATTTATGGTCTTTAGTTTACGAAGTATGAATAATCTTCAGTCGTTCAATTTTAATACAAGCCATAAAATGTGCATACTACAGTGATGTTTCATAAGAAGGTATAACGAAATGTTAAAAATCACCTACGCAAACATTTATTTCTCAAGGTTATTTCTACACAGTGTACTTTACTTCAGTGGTAAAGTATTCTGACATATTCTTCCACGGCCTTATTGAATTCGTTTTCTAGTATCTTTAATTCCTAGTGAAGTATTGAGTTCTTTAGTTGTTTTTTGAAGGAGAACATCACACATTCATAGTTGCATTCCAGAGCTTTGAAAATCCATACGCTTACAACACTAAACGCTTTAAAAACCTTCACATTTCATTACCAAAAAGGTTACCAATGAAGAAGCAGGAGTCAAGATGTGTCTTTTAACAGACCAGATATATAGAGCAAGATATCTGACCTCCAATTAAGGCCTTATTGCCTATAATATCTACTCTTAGATGGCTTCAAAAAGGCCAAGATATTGCTTTAGAGAAGTGAATGAATAAATAGAAAAGAATGGCTAAAAAGGTTCCGGTGAAGTTAAGAGTACTGGCAACAGATAGAGTCTTAAGATAAGAATGAGTAAAGCTAAAACATCTCTTATTTTCAAATGTAAATATGTAGGGGTCTGCGTAATTTGCAGTCAGAACTTTGCCACAAAATGACACTAGCTAGATAACCATCAGAAATCAAGGAACATAGAACAGAAAATTGATTGGTATGTTTCCAACACGAATTTGTGAAATGAACTAAATTTTCAGTGTAGAACTTTTCACCAAAGTGCAGTAGTTTAAGCTGTCCCACTTCATAGCGAAGGGAGACATGCAATAAAACTATAGTAAACTAGAATTTACATGGAGAAGGAATAGTTACAACAGGAAAAAGGAGAAATTGATGAGTCTGAGAGTTCATTAAAAGTTAGTGCATCTACACCATTAAAAATGACTTCAATTTACATCACCAACAGTCTCTAGCCATGGATTTTTAATGTTTCAAGAACCTTAATCCTGAGTTCCATGGTACATTAGACCGTAATTTCTTTCATTAACTGAATGTGATTTGTATGCAAACTATAAATAATGTATAATATTCGAATACCTCAGTATTCGAAAATACAAATTTACAAGAGCGCATTTTTATGTGACTGGAAGAAATGATGATTTGAAATTCTATTATACTTTTAGATAGAGGATGATCATGGGGCTTTCATTAATTCCTGAGTGTGCTTCAGATGACGTAGCTGAGGGTTATTTTGTCTATACATTAAACTGTTCTCATATTAATGGTTTCCTGTATGAAGTCAACTAATGCTCCCCATCAAATGGTCTTAAATCCATCTGAATGTCAGATTTTTAATTTTTTTTTCAAGCATGGACAGAACTTGTGTGGACTGCTTCAGTCCCATGAATCTTGCAATATAGATGGTACTGTGGTAAAAAATAAGTTGAACATCCCTTATGTAGTTAACATTTCTTCCTTATCTTTATTGTTTGTCTCAAGCTCTGCTGGTTTCTATAAAAATATTTCGTTCTGTCTATTGCACAGGGTTGCAGGGACTTTCTAACATACCACAGCTTGTGTTATAATTTATAATTTCATGTACCCTACTTATTATTCTTTGTTGTTGCAAATTAATCAGAACTTTGACAGGTGTTAGCATGGCTGTTGATGTGTCTCTGACCCAAATAATTGCTGCTTACAAATATTGGAATTCGTGCGAGCAGTTGATTAAGGTTATCTCGTTGGATAGGGAACATACTCCTCATATCTGTCATATATAAGTGGGAAGTGATTACATTGGATTGTATGCAAATAAAAAAATCCCAGCCATATACTATTTAGCACGAAGCTTGTGTAGAGGAAATGTCAGAAAAGGAGTAAACATAATGCGATTTGAAAATACTAAATATTCCAGTCTGTATCAAAACCAGTGTTTGGAATAAAGTTATTATCATTACCGTTATTCACATATGCTTTCGCACAGTGCATGTATGTTTTCTGGATAAATAGTAGCACTGGTTTGAATGGAATAATCTAGACAAACAAATTCTGACAATGATACGTGAGAAAATCTCTATGGTGATTCACTTACATTAAAAGGGTGAATTTTTACAAATTATCAGTGCAGTCTGAACAGAAAATCTACTGAAGTAAATATAATTTTCCTTTACTATAACTCCTAACGATCTATACTGCTAGTATGATACCGCAGGTATGATGGATGTTCGATATTTATGCAACAGCAAAAATGAAACATCTGTTTGCTCAGAACATGAAGGCTGGATATAGCTGTCATCACAAACTTATCATTTTATACACTACTCTGTATTACAAAGACTTAGGTGTTGTGTAAACCCATTTCAAATTATTCAATGAAGAAAATCATCGATTTCTCGTTACTGTGTAGGCAGTGCGACAGATTACTTATTAGACACCTACTATGTTGTAATTCATTAGTGTGTGTTTCCAAAATTCAGGCAAATCATGACTTCATATTCTTGATGAATAAGCATGCACTTTGGGAAAAGCTGTTAGAGTTGAGATGAATCCATTCTCTTGTACAAATAAAAGGAGTAACTTATATAGCAATATAACCATTAATTTCAACCTAGAAAGGACTTCAGGGAAATGTAATATATTCTTTATGCAAACTGAATATTTGTTTTTATTCTGTGCCATCACACTTCTCTGTGTCTATCTATTTGTCTATGTAACTTAAGGTCAAAGAAATCAATCTTTCTAATTTCGTCAAATTCATAACAGTACTATTTTCATGTAATTTAGCCATCCTCATTGGACACAACTGACACGAACCTACTAACTACTAAACATCGTTAATCTCTCTAATATTATGCACTTATGCAATTAGAAGACTGACCAGCAGCATTTTAAGGTAACTGACCTCAGGAAACTTGAGTGATTTAGTGAATCAATCTAAATTCACCAGGTAACTCACTGTGAGTAGCGATTTTCTTCTTTAGTTCAATATATTTTATTTTTTGTTGTCATTTGATAATAACCTTTGAACTTTCATGGCATTTTTGTTTCATGACCGAATGGTGCAAAAGCAGTCAGTCCACTTTACTGACTCTCTGCTTTCGTGAATACAGAGCAAGAGACAAAGAAACACTTGAGTTTCTTACTAATCCGATTCTCTTTTTCTCTGTTTTAGTTTTCTTTGAAGTCCGATTGAAATAATGTCTCCTTTTTTTGTTTCTTATTTCCACAGATATCAGGCGTCTTCAAACACAAGTTAGAGTATTCAAACGTTGGGTGAATGTATTATTAAAACAGGTGGGTGATTAACTGAAATAGACATCAATAAAAAGTACCGACAGTGTTATACAGTAATGTTTACTGATGACGTTCCGAGCACAATTTATTGCTCGTAATCATATCATATCACCTTGATATCATTATGAGCAATAAATTGTGCTCAAAACATCATCAGTAAACATTACTGTATAACACTGGGACTTTATGAAAACAAAATGTACTCATAATGGAATTACATTCTACCACAGTGCACAAGTTTTATTCTTATATCAAAAAGTACGGACAACATTAACTTTCAAACCTTAAAGGTTTCTCATAAATTATCTTCTAATTATTTTCGATGTTTTTGTTGTTTGGTATCGTGAACTGTAAGGATAAATTCTGTTTCATACCTTAGTTAAAATTGTCACGATCATGTAGATGAGAATGAGACTATGAGGATGTGTATCGACACATGCGGTTTTTGAAGGTAAACTATATGCTGTACATCCTCATGACTACAGTCGAATTTCATTTTAATGAGCCCGTAGGTGATGTGCAAAACCAGTTACTAAAATATTTAGATCGTTTTGTAATTTTCGTAATACATGCATGAAGTGAGCATACGAACACAAACAAAATTGTATGGTTATTCAATTTATGTACACATTGTTAATGTTAAAGTAGATTTAGTCATTAACAGTTTTCGGTTAAACAGACAACCTTCACACACGCCAGTGCTTACTCACGGGCTGCTTTTTCTGAAGCTCTTAGAACTGCTAGTGACTAAAGGGACTCACCGAGTCATCTTTGAGGACAAACACCCACTCACCAGTGCTTGCTTGCATATCGTGAATCAACAGGAATTACAGTTAATCACTCATTGGACATCTGAGTGATAGTGTTCTCGCCAGACAGCTTTCCAAAGATTCCTAATTTCCAATAGTTCTCCAACTCATTTCACAAAAACTCTACCTTATAAATACAAATGCTACGTCGATTAAATCTTTCATAATCTTTAGCTGTTGGCAAAACACTTGATGTGTTTAATCCAAAAAAATATTCATCGTAGAACATTTTCGCTTGACAAACAGTAATACAGTTATTTACACTTCCCAATTTTGCGTATGATTCCTGAGTAGCGTTACGTATGCTAAGATTGAAACGATGCACAGACGATTAGCGTGGACCTTGTGCAAGAATGACATGCAAAGTAATACTGTATTACTTCGCGGTTTTATCAAGTAAAATTATTCTGTGATTGATTTGTATTCCATCACAGAATCCGAATTCTATTTTATAAAAATTACTCACTATAAGAGATGAATTAAAAGGCTGAGACTTTGGTGACCATTTACTGACAAACAGTGGTAACAAGGGATTTTGGATTATCATAAGCTGGTCTTCATTTTTCAGCTGACAGCAATCCTTTATGAATATACCATTGTAAATCATTTAATTCTCTATGAATAAACAGTTAACAGCATAGAAATCAATCAATGAAGTATTTTGAGTTAGGTTTCATGAAATTAAATGCGGAAGCAAGATTTGTAGCGCAAATCTACCAGTGAAAATATTTCAGGTGATAACAGGCCAAAAGTAAGAACAAAGGAAAGCCAATCATTCTGGCTTAGAGCTAACTAACAGTTCATAATACCTTTTAATAATATGCTCAATCAAAAAGCAAATGAAGTGCTCACATCAATATATAGTGCTTTAGTCGAGTTACAGATCATTCTAGTTTTAAATATCTAAGCAGATAGATATCATCACTCGATGGAAACTATCCCACAAATGAGTTAAATGTCAATAGTTAACTGGTCATTATTGCATTATTTTAGAAAAAAGGCAGATATATTTTACATAAGTAAATGAAATACCAATGAAATAAGATTCTTACAAACCATATCACATACTGTCGGCTGTTAAACAAAAACTTTGGATGATTAGTTCAAAATTAAGATCTGGTCAGCAGCAGGATCTAGCAGCCTTATCGACTGAGATTTCAGCCATTGGTTTGAATGGTCACCATCAGCTTACCAAACCAAGTCTTTCCGATTGAGTTTCATCAACAAATCAATCATATTTAACAAACAAAAGTGATGTGGCTTGAATAAGAAGTGATTATCTTCATAACAGTAGTTAGTGTGGAATATTATTCGTAAAGAATTCAGTTCAATGTGAACAGTTTTACAGAACTATTTGGTCATCTATAATTGATTGATTGGTGCTTACTTGTATCGATAAGGTTTTCCTAAATTTACAGAATAAATTCAACTCTGATTATAACGTGATACAACATAAAATGTGAAACAATTGAGGAAGAATATCGTTTTATAAACTTCAAATCAGTGGAAACTAAATTGGGAGAAGTTAGAATTCAAGGACCATTGGATAGGGTCCCAGTGGCTCAATGGTCTACAAGCTCGCCTTGTAACCAGAAGGCCCTGGGTTCGAATCCCAGTGGGTGCGTACTGATGAAGAGTCCCGAACTAGGACGAAACAGCTGTCCAGTACTCCCAGGTTTTCCAGTGGTTCTCTAACTGATGTCAGCTCATGATGAAATCCTCCATGCAATGAAACTAAATAAGCTCACATCTTAATTTTATTGGTATTTCTAATGTGGGGTGATCTGAATAATTCAGTACTTTAGGAAACGAAATAGAATAACTAAAATGAACTAAGGAGATATGTTGCTAGGCTATTCAAATACACTAGTTAACTTATAATCCTACGTCTTTTGAATAACTTGGAGAAATACCGGTTATTTTCAGTCGAATAAATACCTTTCTAAATATATATATATATGTATATATATATATATATATATATATATATATATATATATATATATATATAGGATATGAACCGATAAATTATTAAGCATATGTCTGTCTTCTATTCTTACTAACTCATACCTCAATGTTAAAACAATAAACATTATTTGATTAGGTGAATTTCAGCAATGATTATCTCCAGGTGCATTAAAATCAGAGCTCACTGACGATGCACTAACATCTGGAGTCAGACAGTTATTGTTTGAAAACGTAAACGTATAGGAAAATCTCACTGTCAGATAGGTAATACCACAGGTTAACAGATCTTTTTGATATGTTCACCAGATTCGAAAAGAGGGCTTTAAAGACTCATCATTGCTGCTTAAATAGATTTATTATGTGGGCCATTGAAGGGACTTTTGTTAAGGAGATATGGTTGTTTGGTCGAAATTTCAGGTTTTGTTCAAATAAAATGTCTTCAAAATTAATAGTGTTTATCCCAAAAATTAATTACTCACGCACTTTTGAAGAGGTGAATACATTCAGAGACAGATGAAAGAAAGTAATTATTAGGAAATATTAGGTCTCAGTGCTACTGTTCACCGGTCGTCTCTTTTAGCTCATATTTTAAACTTTCTTGAGCTGTTAATCCATGGGAAACACCTATATCAACTACTGGTTTACTTTGCATATACAATCAGAGTGAATATTCTTGAACTACATTCAATAGAGCAGGCACTGATATCCTGAAAGTTTATTGTGAAGCATGCAATGACTGGTGTTATTAAAATGAACTCAATATTCAGGTGAAAAAAGTGGTTGTTTTCATGTTTTATTTCTATAAGCGTATTGTGAATCAACTGATGAGCTAAATACTAATTTTGTTGTTCTCCCTAGCTACACAATTTATTTAATAATCTGAAAACATAAGAAAATCGTTAACTTATGATTTATAACGGCATGATGTAAACACACCTATCAAAATATTTCTTTTTTAAGACACATAAACATACAATTAATATTTAAATGTATAAAATTAGTTTTAACACATTATTTCTTTCCTCTTCACCAGGCGAATGCCAAACAAATCAACGATGTACTAGAGATATTTACTGATCATGAGAATTTATATAACTTATGCAAGTATTTGGCAAGTCAAAAAGTAACATGCGTAAGTTATCCAAATTGTTTTATTAATTTAGCTTATATATATATATATATATATATATATATACAGCTTTTTCCATTTTACTACTGTCAAATATTTCTGTTGTGCTGCTGATAGTTAAAAGAAAGGAGCATTCTCATTTTCCATTTAATCTTAGAAACAATAATTGCTCTTGAAGATTTTTATCGAGAATATGCCTTTCTGTAGGTATAAATTCAAATGCTTACTGAAATCCTCCTTCCGTAAAATATATTTCTTGAAACCATCTTTTGAACAGTGTTTTTTCTATAGTTCTTTTTGTGTTCTATTGGGACGTTGCCGTTGTAATTACAGTGGCACTGAACACACTTCAGGACTTTTGACTTGAGGAGAATACAGAAGAACTGTTGCACGACAGTATTCTAGAAAAATTGATGTCCACGAAAATTCATCAAAATTCTCCTTCTTTCAATACGAATGACAGACTCAAAATCAGCCAATGAAAGCTAAATTCAAATCGTTTTACCATAAATGAACAGCATCTCTGAAATCATTAGAAGACTGTTGAAAGATGTCACTCAGAAACCAAGAAAGTCACTCCAGTCTATACTATGTCAACCAAAAGACAACGAAGAGAGGAAGAAAAGCAAACATTAACTACAAGATTAGTTGTAACAGCTGTTGAAAACATTATATTGGTCGAAGTGGACATTCTTTTCTTCTTTGCATCAACGAGGATAAACTGCCTGTCAAAAGATATGACGTCCATTCCCTCGAATCAATATTTGTAGGCAACTACGAACATCAATTCGACTTCAGTAATGTGCGAATCTTAGACAAAGGAAACACTAATAATGTCAGTGAATTCCTGGAATTATGGCATTCAGACGAATCTGTAGTCAACAGACTTGTTCAGATAGATCAGATTTACTAAATGGTTAAAAAAAGTCAAATGGGCAACTATCAGGTCAGCAAAATAATGAATACAAATACAAGTGAACCAGAAAGTGTGAAAATCACTGGAAGAAAGGAGCCACGTTCAATGACACAAGGAAACATGGTTATTAATTTCAAGGATAATTCTAAATGTTCGATCCATACTGAAGTCACAATTGAAGAAAATAAAATTTTCTCAGTTGAGGCATCCAGCTCAGAGAACCTAGCTACATTGGTGTCTTCCATCTGAGCTACAAATCTCCTTTATAATTTCTGATTTGAAATGAATTTTCAGCGAAGTACTAGGCTCCTAAGTGCAGCAGTTCAAGTCGCCACTCTTGATAAAATCACATATAAAGGAAGACAATTAGAGAAGATAATCACAGAACATAATATAATGAAATGAAACCTACGTGGAGAATAATGAGAATCTGATGGATTTTTGCCATTACAAAAGGATACTGTTCTAGGCTTAGAGTAATTCTGTACGCTAGCGAATAGGCTCAAATTTATTCATCACGACACTGATGATATCTGGCTACCTGACATTCATCAGGTTGAGTTCTGTATTACTCACAGTTTCATGTTTGAATACCACAGATGATGGGGCATATATTTTTTCTAACATAAAGTCGTAAATTGATGTAACGATAAAATGTGTGTGAATAAAGCACTATTCGATATCTACACACCATATTCTCTGATTGGTCCTGTTGAAGTTTCCAATAAATCTAGCAAGATTATTTAAATTTAATGCGTGTGATTTTTTGTTACAGTCCAGTAATTCTCATCATTTATACACTACAACATTCACATAAAATGTCCAAAGAAATTCCAGGTGTAGTTGTTTAATTCTCGGTCAAATAGTTGTAGGTTGTCAAGGTTACATCATGATGTGCTTTTCAATAGACTAAGCAAAATGAGCACCTTAACACAGTGCTCCAATTAGCATTTTTTCTGTTCAATATTGCGGAAATTGATTCAGTAGATTTTTCATACTCTGTTTAAAACTTGTTAGCCCGAATTAGGTAGTTTTTGCATAAACAGTATGTCACTTCCCACTCAGTGATACACAGCCTACGCAGTGTTTTCCACTGTTCAGAGTAGACTAATAAAAAGTCCTATTTATTGATTGGTCACTAGGGGTTAACTAGGGCGTTTGATTAGATTATGTATGCTGGGTTTCACTCGTATCTTTTATAATCAAACAATAACGCGATTACTGCCTGTCGAAACAGACACTGGAAAGAAGTGTAAAGATCTGGCAAATGACGAGTACAAGTGACTCTTTGTAAATAAAGAGAGCAGTTGCTACAAAAACAAACATTTTTTCAATACTGTACATTAATGAACTTCGGTCTGATTACCAGTGCCTCAATTATGACTAAATAGTGTGATTTCGGTGCGTTTGATGAGCATGATAGAATAAATCACAAAAATAAACATTGCACCATTATATTACATATGCATGTCGTTAAATGCTCATACATTTAATGAGTATAAGTTGCACAAAATTATACTCACTATTCACATAAATAAACATCATACTATAGGTCATTTAGAGCGTGCCGTCTCTAATACAAATTAGTAGGACGTGTTTTCAGAAAAACCCATATCTGGTCGATACAAAGTATCATAAAAATATTTAAGATAAATATAGCTCTTTTTGTACTTTAACTTATATTATGTCTATAATGCCATGAGAGTCAGAAACTCCTATATTTGGCGACTATTCACCACCCATAATGTTGCGTTTTTTTCACTGGCGATAATGGCAAAAAATGGTATTATGCGGCTACTGGTTAGTTTAAATATACCGTGTGCTCATACTCTCCGGATAAGTTGTAACTGGTTTATTATTAAGCCATTCAACACTGGTTTCTTTATAATTAGTTTTACCTTGTAAGTCACTCAAATGATCAATGCTTTTGGGCATATGAGATTCGTGAACCAACACCTCAATATTTAATTATATATTGTTTCACTATAATTCCATAATGGATAAGATTTTATTTTGATAAATCACACAGTGTAGTACAGTTATATTAACTGATGACGTTTCGAGCACAAACTATTGCTCAGTTAATATAACTGTACTACACTGTGTGATTTATCAAAATAAAATCTTATCCATTATGGAATAATACTCTACCACAGTGCCCAAGTTTTATACTTATATCAATTTTTTCACTATAGTCTGTTCCAAAGTAGCTAGCAGCTTAGTTCACGGACCCTCAGCACCGATGTTCAAACTATCCATTAAACTCTGGTGTTTACTGTTTTTCGCATCGTCTGTTAGTCCTTGAAAATAAGAGACCTGCAAAAATTACTAAAGTTTTCACGTTTACTATAGAATGCACAACATAAATTTACTAAGAACTACAATCATTTGACACTGTACATGGGACTAGTTCCCCTATAGGAATTTATTAACAGTCAATATCAGTTATCCATTTTCTGGACATTGTTGTCAGTGTATTATAATAGACCGTCTATGTTATATTGTAATTTATTCTAACCATATATCTAAGCGACTAAATTTCGAGAGTGTTAGTCCTATCCAATTTACAGTAGCCTAACAATTTGGAGATAAATAACAGTTAGTTGTGCAAATTGGTTCTCGACAACACTTATCTTTATCCACTGAACCAGATGCTAATAAATCAGTACCTCTCGAGGCAGGACAGAGGGTTACACGCTCAGTGACACTTTAAATAGAGGTGAATAAGATGAAAGTGTATAAGTATTCTCAACATATCTCATTGAGACCATCTAAATTAATAACTTTTGGAGAGAGTTTAAGGATGCGAAATGTGTTTGAAAGTTTTAAAAATTGATCACAAGAAAGAATTTTATTTAACTGTAACACTAATCCTAACTAAATGTTTCATAAGTAATGATATTTTTTGACATAATGAGTTTTGTTTCATTGCTTTGGCATTCTCATTTTCTCCTGATGAGTTACGTATGCTTTCGTTTAAAAGGATGTTTTCTCTTTCCTTGTGTTCCGATTGAAACACAGGGCTACAAGTTTTGAAGTTTCATTAGTGGTATTTTGTTTATATTGTGGGATTGCTAGTTTCACGTCCAACCTTCCCTCTTTTCCAGGCGTTCATTGTTGAATACATGTACTGTCATTTCTTTCATTAATGTACTTTCTGGTTGAATCCATTTTATGGTTTATGCTACTAATCTGTATACTCTACTGCTGTACACACTTAATTATTGGTTGAGAAACACATTTGCCTCTTAAGTGTCAGTCGTAACGGTTAATTGCCTAGGTCCAGATAAGTAAAAGATTTTAACCTGTGATGCGTCGATGAATAGTTGAGTGTTTGATCCAATAAATCAAAACGTTGTCCAAGTACTATGAAATAATAATAATTAGTTACTGAAGAAAACTAAAATTCGAGTGCATAACAGTATATATATATATATATATATATATATATGTCACGAAGCTGACGATTTGTGAATAACATTCACCTGTCTTTGATTTTTGTACGGCGCAAGTCTCTTTTATTCCTTTACGTTCCCAGTGGAACAGGACTTCAAGCTAGAGGCTTGAAGTATCTGTAGGAGTGGTGTTTATTTTTACGAGATGGGGTTGCTAGCTCCTGCCCAGCCTTCCCTCTTTACCAGCCTTATTATTGTTTTGGCAAGGTAAAAGAGTGCGTCGGGCTGGGATGGAACCTCGGACCGCTTGCGTGGTTAGCGGCTATTCTACCGCTGTGCCATCGATGTACACGGCATAAGTCTAGTGGAACCTTAACTCACTTTTGTTTAACTTCTACTATGAATGCTGACCAGCAAAATCACGGGGAGTTTTTGTGAAAAACAGTATGAGGTCAAATGTATTCTTATCGGAAACTACGTTCCTGTCGTCTGTTACTGTGCGTCGGTGGCACAGTGGTTAGGACTCTCGCCGACCATGGACATGGTCCGAGGTTCGAGCCCCTGGCGGCGCACACCCGATATCTATGGTCGGCCTGCAAAATTTGGGCTACCGATATCCATGCTGAAAATTCCATACCTGTACCTAAATATACGGTGTGGCATCAAGCTGTAATCAAAAATAAAAAAATAAAAAATAAAAATACTGATTGAGATCAGTGAGTACGGCTCCTTATAATTAATTTCTGTTCATTGCTTGTTTTACTCACTGTGAATAATTATTGACACGAAACATCATCACCGATGCTCAACACCTCTTCACATCGAACGATCTGTTATAATAGTCTACAGAAGCTTGGTAAACAAATTACTTCATACCATTTCACTTTATTGTGGTTCAGAAAGCTTTGATTTTTCCGCTACAAGTGAAACTTAGTTAAATGAAAAGGCTGTCAGCTTCGATGATGCTGCGTACTGTTTGTGCCCTTAATATCAATGGGCATTTCACGGTGTATGTAACTCATCACATGTTTTTGATTCCAATTCGAAAATGACTATAATTCGCAAGAATTCAGTCCTCTTGCAACTGGAATTTAAGATTAACACTATTAGTATGGGAGTACTGGACAGCTGTTTCATCCTAGTTTGTCAGTCATCGACAGTACGCACCCACTGGGGTTCAAACCTAGCTCTTTCCGGTTACAAGGCAAGCTCGAATACCATTCAGCTATTGAAAACAAGCTGGATTCAAGAAAGGCAGGTCATGTGCTCATCAAATTGCAACTCTATACATCATCATCACAGAACAAAGTATAGAATCGCAGTGAAAGCTCTCTCCATATCAGCTTCCTCGACTTCAAAAACGGCTCCACCACACAGCATTGACGGACAAGTAATCTGGAAACTTCTTCAACACTACGGCGTCCAGTACCCAAGTATTTATCAACCTCATTCAACTCCTGGCTGGCTATATGACAATTCCACGTGTCAGTCAGGTGATCCACAACCGAAAACTCAGCTAGGTGTTCGAAGTGCATACAGGAGTAAGACAAGCTGGCTAGCTGTCTATTATCACCGATTATATTCCTAATTGTGGTGCTCAACTGGATTAGGCGTCAGACTGTGCGTTAGGAGAGAGGACAGAGGAATATCCTGGACCACCGATAACAAGACTCTAAAATATCTGAATTTCGCAGATGATATATATCTAAGGTCACACAAACTCTAAGAGCTGCATGTAGGCTTAAACCAGCAAACTGTCTGAAGACGTGAGCAGCGAAGACAGGACTGCAGGTGAACACAGAGAATACGGATGTGATGAAGATAACCAACGAACAGCGACAACAGAAACAACCAGGACTAATCACCATCAACGGGAGAGATTTAACAGAGATTGCCTCTTTCACTTATCCGGCTAGGAAGCATGGTTTCAACCACACGCAGTCGGAACACATGAAGGTGTCAAAACCAGTCAGAATCGGAAAGGCGAGACACGCCTTCATCAACGTGAAACTAATTTGGAAGTCTTCTGCACTCAACATAAGCAACAAGATTCGGATTCTATACAAAAATGCGAAGTCGGTCAGTTCTTCTATACGTTGCAGAAACTTGCACTGCGTGTTACGAAAAGGATTTCCAACAGTCTATTGTAGACTATTATCAACAGCTGCCTTCAATGGCTCCATACTGAAGATAAAATGGTAGGCAAGAAAGAATTAGTAACAAGAGGCTGTGGCAACAAACCAGCCAATAGCCTATTGCTCAACAAATATGTAGGTGAAAATGGAGATGGATCGGAAATACATCAAGGAGGTCGTCGAATGAAATCGCGCGCAATGCAGGCCATCGCTCGAGTGTAACCTGAATTGGAAGTGACGAGTGGGTCGTCAGTGCGATGGTGACATGGAGCAGATCGTGTGAGGAAGAGATGAGATATTATGGGCAATCGTAGACACAGCTGAAGAGGATAGCAGAAAATAGAAGAAAGTGGAGATGTTTTGTTGAAGCCCTATGTTTCACTCGAAAGCCAAGGGAATAAATATAAATATTAGTAAGATTGCTAAAATACCATAGGCAATTTATTAAAAGTGAATTCTTAGATGGTATACCATGTTACACTTTATGTAGTCAATTATTTCTAGGTGGAATAATTAATGGTGGATTGTTTGATTATCTCTCTTTGATGCATAGTGACTATTTAAAATGAGGCTAGTTGCACATAACGCACAACAGAAGTTGATTTCTGAGCACCACATGTCACAGCTGATCGATAGACATACCTGTAAACATAGTTTGTTATCTCAGACATGTTTCCTAATGTTCGTTGATAACTTGACTAGTACTGAGACATGTGATATGGACTCTGGAAGTCCAAACAACCTTTTAGAAACTTTCTTTTTCACATGTGTTTAATGTATCTGAAAAAGAAATAAGTCGAACACTTTATGCACACTTATTCTTTATCGACAGTATTAGGGATTTCATCATACTTACTTTTATTGTATTAATGTCACACTGCAATGGTGTGACACTGACTGATCTGTACCCAGTTTTTAGAACTTTAAAGTTGGCAAGTAGTCTTCAATATACACCTCCTGTTAGCATGCACTTTCAAACAAAGAGTATCTGAAGGAAACTGTGTTACTTTGGAAATTCAAACCTGTTTTACGAAGTGCTCATATCATACGCTTTGCTTCTGTGGTTCGGTGCCAGAATACTCTCTAGACATGCGGGAGATCAGGTTCGATTCCAGTACTGCAAACAACTAAGCCCCACCTAGTTTACTGGTCGGTAAAAATCCTAGAAAAGAAAGAAGGTTGTGCGTGAGGCATTGTGATGCCATTGTGTAAAAACAAAACCACTGCTACTCAAAACACTCGGCTTGAAGTTCAATGTATTACACGGAACGCCAGAAATGAAAAAAAGATAACACACTTTACTGGTAAACTTTCCATTTGATGGTTAACTCTTCGTTCGACTGTATCATGTCGACAAACCGATTGTTAAAAGATAGCAAAAAGTGAAAACTTAATTCCAAATTTTTGATGAAAATTCGTTGAAAAACCCTGTATTTAATGTGACACGAAACCCCTGGGCATATGACATAACTAATTCGGATTTAGTCAAAAATAGGTCTTAAATCCTAGTTTCAACATTAAAAGCTTGGTTAGAAGAAGTCCATAAACAGTTATGACCTATCAGAAATATTGACTGACATCCAATGAACGAATTAGGAATAGAATTGACCCTAGTACTTGTAACATAAACTCACACTGTGGTGAGAGCTGCCTGCTAGCTAAAGTTGGTAGACAGTAATTGACGTCAATGTTTATGTCCCCAATATTGGTGTTGAGAAAATGAGAACAAAGGCTTTGCGTAGGCGGATACAGTTATCATATGGATGATCTGACACAGCCACAAAGAGATGCAAGGTAAACTTTCTGTGAGAAACAACCACCAATCAAAAGACTGTATTTTCTACTAACAATAATCTACATTAAAATCTATAAATATGTGTTGATTTTCCTTAATAAACGATGTGTTGCCTGGCCCTTGTCTTCTGTTGTTACAACACTAATTAAACCACAAGATTACTACAATCAGTGACTAAATAAACTTTTCACTTTAAGCAGCTTTTTATTTAAAACTGTAAAACAAATCAGATTACAGTAGAAGATTTTCAAACATCAAAAGTGTGTACATTAAATACTTGTATAAATTTTGTTTCACAGAAAGGTTAGAAATAAACTTCCCACATGCAACCAACTAAACACAAATTCAGCAAGAAATAATCAGTCTTTGACATTTCTTATAAATTGTGTTACATAATAAATTTGTTTTATTTTTCTACATCTTTATGGAAAATCATTCGCCTGTCAATGCAAAACAGAAAAAAGACATTAGGACTTATTCAAACAAAGGAAAGAAAGAATTCTTAGAATTATGCTACAGTTGGCAACAACCACATTAAAATGTGTTCCAAAGTAAAGAAGGATTTAATGAAGTGAAGAGGTAGATGCATATCAAGGATTGTTTAAGTAACTTCATATTCTATGAAACAGCACATATTCAAAATCCTTATAGTTCACACACTAGTTTCATTGATTTATAACAAGGTTGTGGTAGTTAAGTGTTGGCTTAATATATCCTCACACTTCGTCTAGTTTTAGTTACTTCCTCCTGTCAAGCAAACTGTTATAACTATAGTACTACAAATTTATTACGTGTTCAAAGGTGGGTTTAACGCCATTTCTGTATCCTCTGAACGATTACTAAAATTCAGAAGATAGCAGACATCAAAAACGGTATAATATATTTCCCTGCCTTTGCCAAGATATTACTGAGTATGTTATGAAACGCTGGTTGGGAATGAAGCACACTGGTTTGTTGTCACAAACGAAAAGCTTAACTTGATGATACTTTGGGAGATTTAAATGTCTCATTTCGGAGAATAAGTGACGTTGTGAACACAAGTCAGGCATTCAAAATGCAACTAGGAGTATCTAAAAATAATCTATAAAAATTATTTCTGGTTTGTACTAGTTTTCTTGGCATTTAATTCAGATTTTCCTGAGTTAGCAGTCATCATGAGTGTCTTACTTGGAAATTATATAATTCAAATTTTCTTGTTTTGCTTATTTAACAATGTATTATATACATCCCCAGTTGGTTTGTGGTCTCCTTAATGTTGATTTCTTTCTTTTTCTATTTGAGTTTTCTTTTCATCTCTTTTTTTCTATTCTTTAGAGCAAACAAACTTTTCCCGATCATATCCCTCATTTGGAGCGTGCAATTACAATTCTTGAAAAATTATACGGAGTAAGTAATCTAATAACTTCACTATACAAGTGTACTTATTTCAAGTAGATTAACTAGATCAAATTTCTGATGATTTCATACACATTTTCAATGTTCAAGGGATAATTTAATAAAGTATATTATTTGATATGACATATATCGAGTAAAACAGTGTTCATAACGACTTCTAATCCCACTTTTAATGTAGAATGGAGGTTTGTGGACGAAAAATGTGTCAATGGGTTGAGATCTGAACATATCTTTTATTTGTTTCCATTTACATAATCTAAGTAACAGATGGAACCCAGTTCACTTTGAAGTTAGAAAATTAACAGAAGGAGAATTAGCTATACAGGATTGCAAAGTCAAATGTAGAAACATCAATAAGAGACCATCTCATTTTGGTAGACACTCTGACTCTGGACCATCCCATCCAACATCAGTAAAGGTGGATTTATTCAAATGTTTACGTGATGGAGTTTGAACGTTGACTAGTCAGTTAAAAAATTTAAATGAAGAAATCAAACAAATTAGGAAAAAATTACTGTTGAATGTGGCAGGATAGTCGGTCTGAAAATCCCTCCATTAACAATCAATTTACAACACTGAATTTTTTGATATTTCAACTTTGTATTGACTACCGTTTTTTTCCGGTCTCTTCTAACGTGTGCATATCTCCTTCCTTTTGAACCTGTCCTTATTTGTCTTCGTTTTTAGCTGATCCCTATTTTTGCTGCTGCCTTTTGTTGCTGTGTGATAGTATTGACAATGATGTGTTGTTTTACAACTACATTTGTGTTTCAGTAAAGTTAGACTTACTTTGTGGGGTGTCTGATAGACCTTAGACTGCCTGAGGGATATGTATTTGTTCTGTTTGATCATTGCAGAAAGAGTTTTCATCTTGTTGGGAATATTCTGATTGGTTCTCTGTACATATTTCGTACCTGAGAAACCTTTGAACTGTATAACTTCTGAACAACAATGTCCAGATATATCGCAGATTCTATCAAACACGTTTTTTGATATTTCAAACTGTTTGTCACTCACGGAAGTGTAGAAAGCAGTAAAGAAAAACGAATCGATTGACTTCTTGCTTTCAGACAGAAATACCTGAGTTTTGGTCATTGCACTGATTAGCTACGCACTTGAATTCATTCAGATATTTATTAAGGCCAGTAAGAAAAATGGTAGTAACGTAAATAATGGAAATAACTTAAATGACAAAGATTTCAAAATCTCTATAGTACTACCACATAGAAGAGGCCTTATGCGGAGTTTTTAATTTGCCTGGAATTAGGCTGTCATTATAGCAACCAGATGCATCGTTAATTCAGTGGTAGAGGACTCTCAAACCACGCACATTGTCCGGGATTCTGTTCTTAGCCAACGCATTCCTAAACCTTTATTAGTTGGTATTAATCCCAGTAGAGAGGCAAGGGTGGGCGTTAAGCTAGCAACCCCACGCTGTAAAAAGAAATACAGCTGTTACTGAAACTTCGAAGCTCAAGCTTGAAGCCGTGTTTTCCACTAGAAACGCAAAGGAATGAAATAAAAAATAATAATAGCAATAAATAGCAACGACTTCAGTGAGTGGCAAAAAGCTCGGTCATTACTATGCATGCAGTAGAGTAAAAATTCTAAAATGTGATATAGTTGGGCGGAGGGATAGAGAGAGGCTGATTACCGACTCTTTGCCCACCGGGTCACCATCAAACAGGAATGACAGAGCACCTACTGCAGATACGTAAAAAATCATATAAATACAAGAATGATTGAGAAAATTTACGAAGGAAGTTTGGAACCCAAATGAATACAATGATCTGATTATGAACAATAAATTGTGCTCGAAACTTCCTCCAGTTATTGATAATAGATCACTAGCTGTTGCTTAAATTAAATTTATCGCATATGGAACACGGTGACCGCATTTGTATTGTCTCAGTGTCAGTCAACAGCAGTTAGAGGGGAAACAACAGATCTTATACTATCAGATTTAGCAAGGTAGATTTAGATTATTATCAATACGAGTGTCTGCAAAAATCTACCTAACCTGTGCGATATGTTATTAAGTTATTCTTTATCTGATTAACGAAACCACACAAACTGCTTTCTTGTTTTTGTACATTAAAACATGAAATTCTGTTTGTCTTGGCAATGTCTTCAACTCTAAGGTTAATTTTCACTTTTGCACTTATTTGGCATGAAGCCATGTGATTTTCTTTCGTACTTGTTTGCAATCATCATTAAGGTGTAACTGATTTTCTCTTCACCATTTTGTGTTCGCATATTACTCACCTCTACAGTCATCTAATTCTCTAATTCATTATTACAGCTAGTCAGCAGGTATCCACTTAACTATTTCAGTGAATGTTGAATTTTTAAAAAATTATGATAAAGTAAAAACAATAAACATTGCAGGATGAATTGTATTCTAAATCTTCCACCAAAAGCACTAAATTGAAATTTGTATACAATTTACCGAGTTTTTGGAGGATCTAAAGTACACGAAATGAAATGGAATACAGTTTATTCCACAATGCTTATTGTTCTTGCTTTACAGAAATTTCTATAGAGAGAAATAGATGTAAAAAATCTTTAAAATTAGTCATAAAAGCGCCAAAAACAAAATTGATCATAAATGAACGATACCCAATAAGGCAACGCTATTCCATTGATTATTTGAAGCGCTTAAAATAAGTGTTATGTATCATCCTTGAGTAATGCTATCATACTGGTTTACTGGTTTTACTGCTGACCGCTTAGAACCTACAGTTTATCTCACCTTAGCCTAAAAATCACTTTTATCAGCAATGTGAATGTAACATTTCACAATCAGTATTACTATGTACCTCGATTGACGTTAGCTGTAAACTGAAAATTGACAAGCATAATTTAATCATAAGGTACATTAGTGAAAAGATATTTGCATTTCTACATTTGAGCGTGAGATAGTACTGCTTGTGAACCTCTGTTTTCTAATTGTGAAGACTACAAATACAGATTAACAATTTTCAGTGCTTTCATAATCGTATTACTCATAAGTAGTCGACTTACTCAAGGAAGAAGAAACCCACTGCTTTATCTCTCACAGTGATTAGAAAAGAATAACAGGACCATAAGATCTAAAATCTCCAAAAAGAAAAATCAACTAATTCTTGTGACTATCACATATCGCAACAATTTAAATTCTAACAAGAGATATGAATTGTTTGTTAGAGAAAAAACAGTGAAAGGATTAAATAAGTAAATAAATAAATGTTTCAGTTAATTTTATTGTTCACCGACACTCAACTCACAATAACAAATTGTTATCCGCTTTGTTTAAATCTGTTTAACAATTCAGTTTATAATCTGCTCAATTAGTTCATTTTAGGATATTGTGAATAAAACTGGAAGAAAACCGTTGCCGCTTCCTCCCAAACTGTTCACTGATAGCATGTTTTTTAGGCATATATATATATATATATCAGTAAAAGTCGACACAGTTTTTGCATAAGTTTTAGGATGCACACTATCCTATTTAGTGAGTTAAATATTCGTTAGTACCATTGTGTTCACTAGTTGACAACGAGTTTATCGCGTGCGCGTTTGTGTGTGTTTGGCTGAGTGCACTCATGGATACAAGTGTGAGCCCAAATGATGAACTTTCGGTTTACCTTAAGACTTTTTAAGGTGGCACTAACTTCTCATTTTGATACTCTTGGTCTCCATGTAGGAGGAAAGAGAGACAGAGAGTAGGAGGAGAACTTTAAGTGTCTGTAAATTCAATAATCGTATATTATAAAATTTTTTATTAACTGTTAAGTGTTTTCATTATAAATCTCAGTATAGGTAATTAATTAAGCTACTGTTTATTTCTAACATTGTTGTCGTTCTCTTAACAAGTGCCCTGAATTTACTTTCACCTGCCATCAAAAGAAAGAACAATAATATATCAGCGTAAATGCTTACTTCAGTGATGCGTCATCGTGACTCAATAGGTACTTAAATAAAGTCATTTGTGCTCAAATGGTGAATCATCATTCTGATTTGTTGAACATTTGATAAATTAACTAGCCACGAATCCATGTTTTTGATTGATTCTCTAATAGAATTTTCATTTCACAGTTAAGTATCTTTCGCCAGTAATTCAGGGGTTTTATTTCATCTTCCGTAACAAGCTGATCCATGATAGGCTGATAGTATAAGGCAATATTATTCGTTCCTTGCGTTTCTAGCAAGACACAGGACTTCAGCAGCACATATCCACTACACTCGGTTTTCTGCCTTCATTTTCACTTGGCTACACTGTTGTCCACAAGCTTACATTTCCTCTTCATATGATTTCCTCAATGTCACCCTTAAACCAAGCCCAACTCGTTTCCACTTGAGGGCTTGGCATGTGATTTCATTTGATGAATGTCTTTTCACCGTATGTACAATCTATCTCCATGTACTTCCGAATACCTGCTTAACAATAGATTCTAGGTTGATTCGCTGCCATAGTTCCTATTTGTTTATTCTTTCCAGCCGCTTATTTGACCTCCATTATCTAGTGCGGGCTGTAGGTGTTGGTGGATGGACATTCTTCATTACTTGTGAGCTAAGTCTTTGAACCGACTTGACATTAATTTCAAAAATTTGGACCTTACCCCTTTTATAGAGTGCTGGAAATCTCCACATCGATTTCAGAACAGTGAACACATGTTTTACTTTTCTGAACCTGGCTGGATTTTACTCCCTCATATGTGTCGCCTGTCTGTGGCTGAAATGCTAATATCTGGGTAAATGAAAAAGACTCGTTCTCTGCTGAAAACTTGCTGGTTTTGGCTTGTATATCTATAAATTTGTGCGACATGAGACAAATCGTCCACGAACTTTAGATTTTCTAGAATCAGTTTATTGGTTCAACGCATAACCGTCTCCTCACCTCTACAGTCCGTCACATGATCTGATCCATCGCAATCAGGAAGATTATCGGTGATGTCGGGCAGTCTTGTCTTACTCCTGTCTTCGCTTCAAAAGATTTGGTAAACGTTTCG